TTTAATAACCTGAAATTTCCTTTTTTCAGCAAAATTTCCTTCCAAAATTTTTATCAAAATTGACAGATTTACCTGGTAATTAACATCAAAATTCTAGTATTAATTTATAGTAGATAACTCTGTATTTTGAAGGTTAAAATCAGGCATCTTTATCATCCTCTAATATATGTCCTCCCATGGAATTTCCCTCCCATTTAATTTACTCCCTCTAGAAATTCCATGTGAGAAATGCTCCTTGGACATTCCAAGATTAATGCACCCCCTCCCTTGGAAATTCCAAGGTTCCTCAGGTGAGGGCGGATAATAATTGATGTGGTTGCCTATAAATCGGGAAATTCAGGACAGTTCACATCATTGAATTTGGGGAGGTTCACGGTTCTAGCTGATACTTTAAAACACTAATAATCTCCTCCAACCGACAAGTTATCCTGTTTGGAAAATGGGGTATATTTCGGGTATATTGCCATGACACGAAAACGGCTTTGATACACGCAAGGGGGTTTATAAATCGGGAAATTCAATAAAATTCACATTGTATTCAGTAAGGGTTACTCTATCTATTAAACATAAATAACCCCCTGAAACCGACGAGTAATGGCAGATTGTATTTATTTTCCGCTCAAGGAGGGGTGGGGGATGGGGTGGGGTGAGGACAATGAAAAATCCGGGGAAGTGTTAGTTTCCTGCTCCACTCAGGAAAATTATCCGTGGATTCGAACGGACAAGAGAATTTTTCTTTATCTTGTGAGTTCTGGGTTGGAACTAATGACTTTAACACAAAGAAAAATTTTCTTGTCTTTTCTAATCCACGGATAATTTTCCTGAGTGGAGTCTTAGTCTTAAGACTGAACTGCGCATTCCATATGAACAACCAATCAAATTCCTCCGTGAAACGGCCTTAGAAAATCCAGGGGGAGGGGTTAAAAAGACTGCAGAAATCCGAGGGGTGGGGTGATTAGAGACCAAAATCGAGTGGATGTTCTGCAATTAAAGCCATTTCCCCCAATTCCAGGGGGTCACAATTTAGCTGGTAAAAAGATGTCCTCGACTCCCCCCCCCCCGTGCGGAAAATAAATGCAGTCTGCCAATCGTTGTTTGAAAATGGGGTATTTTTGCTTTTGTTGTCGCCAATCGTGGGAAAAGAGGACTCTACAGCATTGAACAAAAAATAACTATTTGCTACTTATTTTTAGTTCAATGCTCTACAAGAAATATGGCGCGAACGTGACGTAAACAAGCCAGCTTTTCTAACGTATTGTTCATGATTGTATCATTTGTTTTTTATAGAATTCGACTTACTCGAGCTTATTGGAGCAAAAAATAAATCTATTAATGATGGCGATGTTGTCATTGTTGATCATGATTTAGAAATGAGGAAACTCAAATGGGCTATTCCAATTATTATCGCCCCCCCCCCCCCATGTTGAGGAACCTTGGAATTTCCAGGGAAGAGGTGCATTAACTTTCAAATTTCCAAGGGAGGGGGTAACATTAATCTTGTAATTTGCAGGGGAGGGGGTGCATTAACCCTGGAATTTCCAGGAAAGGGGGATCCAAGCTCTGCAATTCCAAGGGGAAGAGTAATTTTCATCCGGAATTTCCAGAAGGGGAGTAAATTAAATGGGAGGGAAATTCCATGGGAGGACATATATTAGAGGATGATAAAAATGAGCTGATTTTAACCTGCAAAATACAGAGTTATCTACTATAAATTAATATAATGTGTTTCAATACTAGAATTTTGATGTTAATTACCAGGTAAATCTGTCAATTTTGATAAAAATTTTGGAAGGAAATTTTGCTGAAAAAAGGAAATTTCGGGTTAATAAAAGGAAATTATTTTTTGTAGTGGAAACACTGGGTTTGTTGACAGCGTTTCGAGATTTGTTGACAGCGTTTCGAGATTTGTTGACAGCGTTTCGGGTTTTGTTGATTGAAATTTCGCTTGCTTGAATCTGGCACAAATTTTAAGGTTGATCTTGAAGGAAACTCGTGTTGGTTGTGAAACAAAAATCAGTGTTGACATAGAAGGCTTTTTTAACAATTGAATTTGGAACGGAATTATTGTTGACGTTGAATCGGTTTGTTGAATGTATGATAAAAACGCGGTTGATGTTGAATCGGTTTGTTGAATGTATGATAAAAACGCGGTTGATGTTGAATCGGTTTGTTGATTGTATGATAAAAACGCGGTTGATGTTGATCGGCGTTTGTTGAAACTGGTAGAATTTTAATGCTTGAATTTTGCACCAAATCGCTTTCCATACCCGATGACATAAAGGAATTTGCTTCGCAAATCCTTAAAAAATCATTGCACATTATAGTTTTGAAATATGAAGTCAATTCACCCTTTATTGACTTATAAAGTGTTTTTTCTTTGCCCGGCATTTGTCGTTTGACGTATGAACGCGAAGCTTAAACTCTCTAAAGGCCCTGTCACACTATTGCGTATCGTACTAGCGTATGTCAGCGTATGAAAAATATCACTCATACGCCGGTATACGCTGACATACGCTAGGGCTACGTTAGGCATAGGTTGTATACGTTTCAAACACGGTCGCATACGGTGGCATACGGCGAGGCAGAAAATGTTTTTTAAGCATGTTCAAAAATTTTGTGCGTATCGAGCGTATGCTTTATACGATAAGCATACTCTAGGCACACGCCGAATGCGCTAGAGGTACGCCAGATGTACGATACTCGTACGCTGCCATTTCAAAGGATTTTTGTGCGTATGAAAATTATTTCATTAACTTTTATGCGCTTCTCATACGTTTCTCTCATACGCAATAGTGTGACAGGGCCTTAATGAAATCACCCGCTATACGTCAAATACGATGACGTAAGGCGTGATTCGATAATAAATTTGATGCTCACGTGGCACAAACTTAGCTTTTTGATTGGACACTTTGAATTTGAGATATAATATAGCATTATATATATAATATCAAAGTTCCAAGAGAATGATTGTGCTTGGTCCTGATATTCGGTACTATATATGTGTTAATTCAATTGTTATTTTTCTTTTAACTGTAGACATTCGCAGAAAACGAGCAAACTCGAAAAACATCTACACCACAATTGATCTAATTAGAAGAGAACATTTCGAGCAACCTGCACGTGTCCAATGGTTATATATAGAATATATTGTAGTCTTTCGCATTTAAATATAATATATGGTAAACATCATACATGCACGTACTTGAGGTATAGAGAAACCAGGCTGCAGGATGATTTATTGTCTACTCCAATATGCTCATATAATACTATAATATTATAATATGCCTTAAATTAAATTTGTCAACGATACACCTTGCTGTGTCCTTTTTTTTACTTAAAAGCGTCAATTATAAGCTGGCGAGGGGGGTCGCATTACAGTCAATTTCACGCAACTTTTGCCTATACTGTATGTTTCGAAGTTCGCAAGTACGTTACGAAGTTCAAATTGCAATTTACAAACAGGTTTGTAAACAAACTAAAGCTTCCGAATTTGGTCCCTGGATTAATAGAAGCCAATCAAACGCTTACTTTACGAACTGGTTTGTGAATACTGTTCTGAAGTTTTGAACTTCCCAATGAATATGCGAACTTCGGAATCGACGGTGCATCAGGTTTCCGAGATGTCGCAATAGCCGGTTAACATGCACCGAAGGACGTAAACGAACGTATATTCAGTTATGTAAATTTGCAAACGTAAGAAATTGAATTCTGATTGGCTCCACATGTAATATTTGTAAACTAGGGTACCTGCAAGGTAGGGATTGTTGCGAGCATTAAAAGCAAATAGAACTACAGTAAACAGCACAAATTATATCAAGCACAGTGATTTACTCGCAGCGACTAGTGAGCTGTGAATGGAACTGAGAAGAAGCAATATATATTGAAGTAGCAAAGACCAGGGCTTAAAGGGCAATCAGAAGTGACAGATATTAAACATGTGCGTCTCATTGACATACAGGTAAATTAACTCCTTGTCGACAAGTAGTTTCGCATTACATTACAATTCAATTTTTCAAATGTAAATATCGCGGCGAGTATTTACCCCCCTTTAAAACAAAACCCACCATTGTAATCCTCACAAAATAACCTTTCGAACGGGGGTCAAGTGTTGTCGAACATTATACAAACCAAAACAATCATATAGTTATACTCACCGCTTCGCCAAACATTCAAACGATAAAAAGAGAAAAAGTTGAATATCTTCTAAACTTTTCGTCATTTTCGGAAAGGCTATATGTGCAAAATACTCTTTGTATTCAAGCGCTTTAGTGTAGAAAGTTTCGTATGAATACGACGAGTAGAAATATTTATTTTGAATTTTTAAAGTATCGGGTTTTACTCGCACGCGCTTGTATTACGTAATACTTGGCCAATAAGGAGCTCTCTTTAGCCGGGATGACGTCAAACTCACGCGTATGGATGCACTTTGACCTGTAGAACCATTTCTGGCATTTCCAGAGTCACGCGATACAAGCGTGGCATTGTTTTGACGAGTTTTCGTCGTATTTCCGGTTGGGATTATCGCAAATTCGGAGCAAAAATGTAAAATTCGGCACTAAAAGTCACCCTTTAAGGATAGAAGCTTGGAAATAACATTATACATGGCATTTTAAATGATTAATTCATCAAGAATATCGCAATGAGCATACGTTTCAAGGGGCCGAAGTTATATTCGGCGTAAGGTATGTTTATGTTTTTATAATTTGTTGGTAAAATGCGTAATTTGATCGTATTCGATCTCACTTTACTTTTAAAGCTCATAAATCGCTATAATGTTGCCAATGACTAAAACTATTGCTACGAGTGA